ATCTTACTTTACAAATGGGGAATCTGTGAGGGTCAGTGACTTGCTGGGAAGTAACGGAACTGGGATTTGAACTTGAAATTCTGACTTCAAATCCAGCACTCTTTTTTCGGTACAAGTTGATTTGTAAATGTTTTGGTGTTCACACCCAGGGCTGAGAATGCTCCTAAGGTGTGAATGCACAGAAGTCTGCACTGTCTGTTCTCCTGCTCTAGTAGGAGACCACGGTCCTGGGGACCTGTGAGGGCATCTGTGCGTCACATCTAAGCACAGTGAAGTCCATGCACCTCAAACTTTGACGGTCCAAAGCAGAATAAATTCTAAACAGAAACAGAACATAGGACCCTGTCAGGTGCTGGTTCTTTAGCACTGGTCTTCCTGTTTAGGCAGAATAATATTATTAAAAATATAATGAGTCCATTTTTTACTTACTCCTAGGTAAAAAAAATAACTACTACAAAATTAAAATCAACACAAAATCACAATCTAATTTCCACCATCATCCTTTGTTTCCATCAGCACAGAACTTTGTGGAGAAGCACATGGACGAAACCTGCAGAGATTTGAGTGTTGTCTTCCTTCCTGGTTTCCATCCTGGGACCTGTGGCACGACAGTGAGTAACGGCCAACAGCTGGGAGCAGGGCAAGCTGAGGAAGGGACCAGGATATCAACTAGGAGCGGGCCTGTTCATTTTTTTTTAACAAGCTTCACTTATAAGAAGTATGGGGCTGTGTGGCACCTATTACTCAGTGGGTAGGGCGCCGGCCCCCTATACTGAGGGTGGCGCTGTGGCAGGCATCTATAGTCCCAGCTACTTGGGAGGCTGAGGCAAGAGAATCGCCTAAGCCCAGGAGTTGGAGGTTGCTGTGAGCTGTGACATCATAGCACTCTACTGAGGGCAATAAAGTGAGACTCTGTCTCTAAAAAAAAAAGAAATATGGGGCTAATTCGGCATTTCCTTTACGTATGCAATGTGACCCCTTTTACTTAATCAATTTTGTAATGACTTAAGAAGACAGGAGAAAATTAGCCCCGAGGGTCACAAGGAACAAAAAGAATTATCAAACCTATCTAAGAGTAAGCCCCAGCATGGCTGGGCAAACCTTGTCCCCACAGGGATGCCCCAGAAACCACAGCACATTGTGCTGGGCTGGAGTGGCAGCTGTTTTAGGAAGCGAAGCTCCCCTGGACTATGTGACTGGCCATTTCATACTTAACGGCCAAGTGACCCACAGGCACCCACTGCTCTACAGCCTCCCCACACGGGTGCAAGGCATAGTCCCCTCACTTCTGGGCCATCACCTGCGATTACTAGCCGTAATCTCAGGAAGTCACGTGAGCTTTGATTTCTTTATCTATAAAATGGGGGAAACAGTGTCGCCAAATTCACGATGTTCGTGAAGATGAACTGAGGCACGAGCAAGGAGGCGCTGGTGCTCAGAGTATCCCTTACTCAGAGCTCTTCTTGCCTTCGCCTTTTGTCACTGCCCTTCCAAATCGCTTTCTTTTCTTTTCTGCCCTTCATAATTAGCACTTTCTATTCCCCACCACCAGCAGCCAAGATAACCTAGGTCTCATCTCCTTTGCTGCCCTGGCAGAGATGGCCTAAATGACTCCCATTTCCC